ATGTGCCACTGATGCACTTAAATTGTCTGACTTGTGTATTGAAGGCAGGATAATCCACTGATTTTTTACAACTTAATATTTATATCTGTATGGTTTTTCTATTTTTTTTTTTTTTTTTTTTGATACTTCAGAAAAAATTAGTATCAACATCAGGTGCTTTTATTTGACAGGTTTTATCATTTTAACAGCCCCATATGTTAAAGACAAGTATGGCAATAATTCAATCTTTTCAAATGTGAATTTTACAGATTCTGCATTTTTTAAGACACACATTCTTAAAATAAGAGCATTCCTATTGAGTGATAGCAACAAAAGTGATAACCAGGCTACATATGCTTCCTTAGAGTGCCATTGTATACAGTAAATGGACCACTAATGCTACATAAAAACATATTCTTAATCATTCCAAAATTACATGTCTGAAAAACTGGTAATCTTTCCCCATTATTTATATGTAAAAATAGGACTTTCAAATACTAACTGTATATGTTTTAAGTAAGAATTTTGCTTCCCATTTTTAACTTGCCCCCTCCAAAATATTTGCAGAATTTTTCATATTTTAGTTTGATTAAGTATCAAATAAATGTCCTGTATTTAATGAAAGAAACTAGGTAGCTGTTTAATGTGATTAGTGGCATTCTTGTTTTTCTTTTTTTAATTCACAAGCATGACTGGTGGTACATAATCAGGAGGGAGCCATCACCTCTCTGCACCTCTATTACTGTTTATTGAGTGCATTAAAACCTCACAATTCATTTTCCAAAAACTCACTTATAACCCAGTTAAGTATCATTCAGTTATATTGTGAAGTATTACCTTCGCCTAAGCCTCTATTCAAAATAAGAGAGATGGGTAGTTTTAGTCAGTAGATAAATTATGATGGCATACATTTTTTATTGTCCCAGTTGTAATGAAAGTAAATAAGTGTTAGACAAAAATCTTACAATTTATTGTACATACTTTATGTAATTGTTCCTTTTGTATCAGCATGTTTACTAATAAAATATTTTCATACAAGAGATTTTTGCACAGTTTTCCATTTCTTATCATAATTCTCCACTGCCATCCTACTGCAATAAAGGAATGCCTTAACATTAAAAGATAACAGTTGCTTCTCAAAATATTGCACTAATTGTTCATTTGATAAACCAAGACTGGGTTCCCATAAACCCTACGTACTAGCAGTTTCAATCTAACTCTGAGGGGATTCTCACTAAATTGCATTCAGATTAAGCTCCTTAAATGTCTGTCATGCCCACTGAAGCTGCTAGGGGGTAATTAATTTTTGTGCACATTTAAACTAGATGCAGTTTAGTGAGAAACAACTTGGGGGATAGAACGATTCTCTTAGTACGATAGGAATGGCCCCTAATAAGGACGATTTGGAAAAATTCATATGATTTTCTGCTAGGTCAAATTAGCTGCAATGTATTCAGTAATAGTCCTGGTGTTTGCCTCCTCTATCAAGTAGAAATGTCCTCCTTTTAGCATCATTTTATGAAAGGGCCCATCACTCAAATCTGACCAAGCTGAAAAGAAATACCCAAGAAAGTTAATAAAAACACGATTGAATCTTTTGGTGGTGACTTGATGAAATAAAGATGTGTCATAAAAAATTCGTATATACAGAAGTTTTGTAGGTTATCATAAAAATACACAGAATTTTTTCCTTAAAAAAAAGACCCATCCATGTGTGATATCTCTAGGTAGACACTATATCTAAGAGATATAACAATTACAGGTGATTTCACAAACTGCTTACCTTCTAAATCATGAGGCCTGTCTTCAGAACCATCAAACACACTGATTGGGCAGGAAAAGGGCTTCACTTGAGTCTTGTCATAGCTGCTCCTGAATAAGAATGAAACCAGAGGATAATATATAGAGGCAATACAGCCCCTTGGAAAAGTACCACCAGCTGATTTAGGCACATCCTGAATACGAATGAAATAAGAAGCATTGCTTGATGCTGACGACAGTGTATCCCCATTTTTTTTTTTTTTTTTTTTTTTTTGGGGGGGGGGATAACTATGCTTCTCGAAATAAGATGAATTAATCTTCTGCACATTAAAATAGTTTGGCAGATTCTGTATATGTAGGCAATTTCAAGGAGAGTGTAAAATTATTTTCCTTTTCTTTAAACTTCTTGTATAGGATACAAACCAACATTAATACTTTCACTGATGCAATATACATTTATATCTATATGTGAAAGGTCACTTCAATAAATTGAATATAAAAATTTAAACACCAATGAAATAAAATAAAAGATCAAACACACAGACACACCAGTAATTCTCCAGTATGCAGAAGTCTGCTCTCAGTGATGGAAGGAAAAGTTTCATCATTTCTTTGTCATCAAGGATCTCTCTTGGCGTTCCCCCCAAACGTCTCATATTTTCTACGAATTCCTCGTCACTCATTCCTGCAGTCTTTACCTGGTTTAGTTTACGTTTCTCTGACTGGGGAAGAAAACACAAAAAGTTGATGGTGTGGATTACCTTGATGAGTATTTACAATACCACTGTTACAATTAAGTCACAAATGAGACCAATGAAGGAAACAAAGAAATAAAGGAAAGCAACACATAAATGTGGGTTATTGTGGGATAGTCTGGGACGGTATGAGGCAGCATGGGGTATTGTGGGATAGTATGGGACAGTCAGGTGCAGAGTGGGACTTTGTGGGATAGTCTGGGGCAGTATGGGACAATCTGGGACTGTGGGATAGTCTAGGGTAGGTAATGAGAGAATGTTAAAAACACAATATTATAAATAATAAATGTAAAACAAGTATTTTCAAATAATAATATTTTCTTATGTTTGTAAAAGTTGAAGTTGCTATCTTAGATGATATGGACAGAGCCAAATAAGGGTGAAAAAAATTTGCTGTAAAAAGATCCATACTGGTATGCCATAATATTCAGGAATGTAAAATATCAGTATATTGAGATTAATGGATCACTGTTGAAATATTTACTAACACAATTTGAGACATATCTACCACAATGTATTGAAACCCATGTATCTGGTGTGATAAATTCAGTGCAACCAGAGTAATGACAGTCTCTGCTAATGGTGGCATGAATCATAGCTTGCCAGTGTCTTCAGTTATTGTGAGAAATTATCTTTACAACAAATATTTCTGTCATTAATGCTTTTAGCTATGCAGTGTTCATACAATCTGTTTTAAATTGTGAATAACGAAAAAAATATTATTAATAATGAACTGAGGCAAGTTAACATGCAGTGCAGTGATCACTCACTAAATTTGAACAAAACAAATGAATAATTCCCTCCCCCCAAAAATGTGTATTGTTAAATATATACTTTAAATGCCAATTCAAAAGTTTTGAAAATTTATATGACTTCATGTCCAAAAGTAAAGTGCTGTGAGAATTGGAAAATGATAGATTATGATTGAAAAAGTAAAATTTTAGATATAGTGAGGCGTTTGAATATTCACATAATTAGAGTAATTACTTGATCTATTCATGGGCAAAAATGGTCAAACTTTTAGATACATAATGTTATAATCACAAAAATTATATTTCTGTGTAGCATTTGTAGTGCTTTCACTGCATATAACTATAGAGTAGCCTGATTTTTAATTTTGCTTTCACCAATGTTCTAATTTAAAGAAATTATGACTTACATAATACAGTAGCTGTAAAATTCACAATTTTCCCCCCACTGAAAAAATCAAATAATTACGAAATTCAGTATCTGCAAAATTCACGATTTCTCCCATTGAAAAGATTGAGTAAATACAGTATTATACTTACATGTGGGGCAGAGGCCCCTGAGAAGAAAAGATGGACAGGGTCTAGCCCATGCTTCTCCTGGAGCTGTTTAGCCACCTCATATCCCATATAAGATCCCAGGCTGAAAGACAGTGAGAAATGGGATGTGACTATACTCCTAGGACTCATTCCTGCAAGGATGACAGTAATAAATACAGACCTGAAGCCAGGGTTTTTTTCCAACGAACTACCCTTATTGCTGGGAAAAGGTCTCCTCTGGCTAAAATTTCATCTAGGTACACAATGGTTTCATGGTAAAAGCTCCACTTTATCAGAAAAAGAACCCCCGTTATGAAATTACTAGCTACGGGCCTGAAATAATGATTTTCTTTTAATTGTGATAAGAACAGGAAAGTATATGGTGACAGTGATGACAGATGTAGGTGGTGGCTAAAAGTTTTGACATATTAATATTGTGTCCATCTGTCCTTAAAAAGCCAGCCACTTAAAGCTGACATATGCACAGACAATCTATATCAGTTAAACATCAATACAGACAAAATGATACAGCAATACCATTGTTCCTGGGTAAATGACCCAATGGCATGCTCCTAAGTACTTTACCTGTGCCCTCATTTTATGATGGATTTTAGACTGTAAATATTAATTATAATATCATCATAACCATTATATAATAATAATAATAATAATAATGGTTGTGATGATAATATTATTATTACTATTATTATTATTATTATTATTATTATATACTGGTTATGATGATATTATTATTGTTATTATTATAATTATATAATGGTTATGATGATGATATTATTATTATTATTATTATTAGTTTACCTGTGTCCCCATATAGCCAGTGCTGTTCCGTGAGCAGAGACATATTTATACACAGCAGCTGTGACATCTTGGATATAAGTATCCGGGTCTTTGTAACATGGCTCTTGAAATCTGTTCTCTCTTCCTGGCAATCTTATAGCACAAACTTGGAAAAAGAACATATCAGGTAGTGAAACACATTTATGTTACTGTGGCATGATATAAGAGTTATAACAACCAAGGAAAGCACAGTGCTTAGAGCCGCGCCATTATTGCAAGGTAGCTCAACTGTCACCATTAATTAATTCATTAAGGGATCACCAACATCTAATTGACGCTCATGCAGTCAGCCCAGTTTTGACAAATTCTGAAAATGTTCTCAAAATCCTCTCATGACCTTATATTTTGAGTTAGGCTGTTAACTATACATACATACATACATATATATATAACAACCACAGGTAAAAAACATCTTTAATGCATCATATATATACATTTCTAAAAGCCCTTGATAGCACAGGGAGGATTTGCTATATATAAGCTCTAGGACAAACTCCCCACCCTCCTTTTCAAAATGCACATATACTTATCCACCCGTCCACCTTCTCCACAAGGGAGTTCTATCTTACATGTCCAATGGGGCTCTTGGAACATCTTTGTTCACAACATGTGTATTAAATCATGATGAGGTCAGGATACAGGGGAGGGGGAAATCAAAGTTGGTGAGGGGGAAGGGGAAGCTGAAGCAAAGATAACTCAGAGTTTAAGCTGTTGTTTGTAAAACCTAAATAAACTACTATAATTATCCTTGGTATACCAGGTTGTTTTCATAGCTAGATAACAGAAAAATACCTTCTATGGTTTCTGGCAGCAGCTGTGCCCATCTTCCATACCAGTTTGAGCCGCCTCCCGCCCAGGGGAAACAAACCAGAACATACTTGGCCGAGGGACGCTTCTGTCGACAATTCAGCAACTTTTCAGCCATGGTGAGTCCACGCCTGAAAGTCTTCATATAAATGTTCACCTTGGATGACTCGGGGGGGAAAATATCCTGAGCATGAAAAATTACAATACATCTTTTACTGCAGATAATATCCCATTAAAAATGTGCATATATGTCATTTTGAGTGACAGTAACCATTACTCTCTTGTTTAAGTGGGGCAATTTTGAATTTTACAAATTGTAACATTGTAAATTTTAAATGTATTATTTTTTATAATTAGAACATTATCATAATATTATTCAATTTTAAATCTATATTCTCTTATTATTAGAACATTGTTATTATTTGAACATTCTGAGTGTCATCAACAAAATTGAAAAAAAAAAAAAAATTGTCACATACCACCCTATAGTTCCATTCAGTGCATTAAATGAACCACTAATATTTTTTTAGAAATATAATTTCTGTGACTGTAAAATTATGTATGTGAAAGTTTGATTATTTTTGCCCCTAACTGCAAAGATTGAGTCTTTACCGTAATGCATGCCATGAATTGATAGACAGCTAGAAACATTTATCATTTTGGCAACCTAACCTTGACCACACATAACTTAAGCATTACAATACATATACGTGGACAATAACATTTACAACAAACACCCCATTCTCATAGCTTAGATCGACCTACATTGGATCGACCTAACTCCCTGGGGGTTCACGCTAAATAGCTGTCAGCCGGGCGGACACGAAAGTTAATTACCCCTTAAAGCTTGTAGTAGGCGGGGACGGACACTTACGGGGGATTATCTGACAGTAATCTAGTGAGACTCCCCGCGGTGATAGATCGATCTAAAAGTTGTGAGAACAGAGCCATAGACACACTGTACTATTATCTATCTAAAACATGATCGTATGATATATTTGGGACAAAAATACCACACACTAATAGTTAGTACTGAATTGCCTTAAAGATGCCTGGGTAAAACACTTCTTGGCAACATTTTCATCTAAAACGGCAAGTATAAAGGTATTAATACCGTACATACAGAGTCCCTGTTCACATGTCATTGTACAGGTTTATAGACAGGTTAATGGGCATGCGACATGTGGGTGCATCCAACACCTTCTGATCGAACTCAAACGGTGTACAGAATAGACACAGGAAATAATGCGGTTGGTTCTAAAACAAGAAATGGTAACAGTAACTACAAATGCATTAAACATTTGGATCATGTTGGTGATTTGTAACTGCTGTGCACACCCTCAGTTCTGGTTATTAGGCGAACCACACACTACATGTAGTACTCAAATCAAGCCCTCTCCCGCGCCCCCATCCCCCGGCCGTGCTGTGTGTTCAAACGGTGCTAAAAGTGCCCTGTTTGTGTGACACTGATATATAGCCTTGATATCAAACCATTATCGGTCTTCCTATCAATTAATCAGGATTAATGATACATTGATACACGATGTTCCAGTAGAATAAAATTTCTGTACCTGAAAGCTGAGGGGAAAGAAATAACATGTGTAAGGTGTACCCCAAGACAAGCCATATTCAATGTCTATATACTTAATTACAAATCTAATCTCGCGTTATCCTGGTGTCAGGTGGGCAATGTTAGCTTATTACCATCTAAATCTGGGTGATGTTTGCGAAGTTATACTTGAAAACCCACCTTAAACCAAACCTCTACTCGAAGTTATTTTTTGTCTAAGCTACAGTAAGGAGTCCTGAGAAGAGAATTGAAATATTTCATCCTACGTAAGTAGTCTGTAGACATGCCGCGTTTTCTTCAAAGGGGATAAAAAAATATTTGCTGAATATAAAGAGGTCCGGGGGGAGCGGTAGGGAGCGCTCAACAGGCACAAACGTCACTACACAAAATGCTCCAAGCTTGATTGACGTTTTTCCGATAAAAGCTAAACCTATCATGTGAAAACTCTTTGCCCTTGAACTAAAATGAATAGGGGCCAAGTAACGTTATCTGGTACTGTGTGGGGCACATCAAAAAGCCGATATATAGCACAGAATCAAAATGGCGTTTGCGACAGCAGGGAGGTCGATGAAGCTCTACTGGGGTTCCGGCAGCGCACCTTGCTGGCGCGTCATGGCAGTGTTAGAGGAGAAAGGGCTCGGAAAATACGATAGCAAGCTGATCTCCTTCGACAAGAACGAGACCAAATCTGAGGAAATCATGAAATTGAACCCACGTGGTGAGGTACAGGACCTACTGTATGTCGCTGACAAAGCGGATGTGACAAATATGCTGGACCTTTCTTTAGGGCGGTCAGAGAGATCACCCTCAGCTTCAGAGAAAACCTGAAACAAACCCCTACACTACACTACAGCATACCCTAGTCCATTATTACTTGACGCGGCAAGGGTGTGCTGTGTAGAGGTTTGTTTCTAGTTATCGCTGCAGCTCAGGGTGGGCAATGATAACCGACAAATTAATATTATGAAAACATTTTGGTCTCTTTTCAGTGTCCTAGCCTTTTCCTTTCTCCCATTCCACCAGAATCCCCTTACTTTTCCTTCAGTCAGCGTCTACATGAGTTCCACAGGCGCCACAAATAGCCTGTTTGTGGGTCTATACCTACCCTCTACCAGGGCCACAGATTGATTTTTCACTAGACATTAACAGATATGTCTCTGGTTAAATAGATAGCTAATCTCTGCACTGTGTACTCGCCTCAGCAAAAATGTCCACGATAATAATTGCGGCCCTGGTAGAGGATATATAGGCTATACCTATGTATAACTCCACCTCCATTTTTATCAGCCTATGACTCTGACTCCTCGTAAACCCATTATCTTATTTAAATCCACGTGTGTCCGCTTATCGGTGTCCCATACATATTACACAAGACCCTAAACTGCAGAATATAAGCCCTGCACTTGGAAGTGTAATATTGAATTAATTGTGATTTATTTTTACCCTTAGGTGCCAACATTTGTTATAGGGGAAATCGTCATCAATGAATCGCTGGCAACCTGTTTGTACCTCGAGGTACGGAGGCATCTTTATTGAATGTTATATAAATGTACTCTAAAGGCTACTGGTTTTCGCGCCAAATCCAATTTTCCTTGAAAAAAACACAGTTCTCTTACTAATGATTCTCGGGTCGACTCGCCTTTGCACTTAGATTCGATGTTTTGAACAATTTCAGACAATTATAAAATAAAACGTTAATATAAGTTGGTACTCATAAACGAATCGTAACTCCCTTTAGAATGACTTCTTCCTGACATGTCAGAAGGAAATACTGAGTCCTGAAATGTCCTCACAAGTTCTGTTACACATGAGATGCAGCGCTCTTTTCTGTGATCTTGCAGGACACGTACAAGTCGTCAGGTGTGCAGCTTATTCCCAGCGATTGCCCCAAAAAGGCCCAGGTGCTGCAAAGAACTTTTGAGGTAAGAGATCAGAGACCTACCTCCGATGAACTTGTTTGGTGGGTCCTAGAAGAGAAACGAAGTTGGCTTCGGCCACAGTAGCCTGTTCCTACAATGGCCCCTGCGTACGTCTTCCAGATGGCCCCAAACATGCAACAAATTGCCATATCGACATGGTGCATGCATGGGTCCATCTGAAAAAGGCAAACAAGGGTTCTTATGGACCATGGTATATTTCAATATTGCTTCCCTATTCATGAAGGTTTCCTGCAGGTACTAAAAAGGTAGCAGAACGCCTTCCTCGCGCTTATTTTCATGTTATTACCGATATCAAAAGACTTCGTCATATTTAAAAGCAACGAATTCTAGCCTTATTTGGGCACAGATAATAATAATAATAATAATAATAATAATAATCAAGGGGTGCATTATTTTGATGTTTGTTATTTTTTGCCCTCTACAGGCCCCGGGGTTCATGAAGAAAGGACTTGAGGACCTGGGTTATCTGTACATGGAGGGCGACGTTAATGAGGTAAGAGGAGAGACTGCCAAAAAGTTGGAGTCTCTCTCTCTCTCTCTCTCTCTCTCTCGTAATTTGTTTAATCCTTTATAACCCCGCACTCTCTCTCTCCTCCGTCTTTCTCTCTTGCCCCGATAAATGTCTTTTCAGATGCAATTTGAACATTTCAATAAAACGAAACGAAATTATGAAGAGCCATTTGCTTATTGAAAGAAATATTAACTTTTCCCAAATGCAAGTTATCAGTCAGTTTAATGCAACTCCTATACTTCTACTTTTTTTCTTATCGCCTTTTTTTCAGGAAGAAATGAAAGAGAAAAAGACATCACTGAAAGCTGAACTGGCTCTGTGGGAAGGTTATCTGAAGGCAGTATGTACTAATTTAATCCGTATCAATTTTTTACTTTTCAATTTTGAGAAACATCGATTTTCTTAGTTTCGTGAAATACCTAAAGGGATAGGTGGCTTGTTTTTTGGTGTTACATTATGTTTTATATCGTCCTGTCAGATAAATTCAACTTTCAGTTTAAATTCGGTTACAATTATATAATTGACAATTTGCGTGCACTTTCCTGTCATTTCGTAGAATGATGATGTTGTTTGGGATTTTATTCTTTTGAAATAAGAATTTTGTCTATTCTCGGCAGGACATTATCGTTGTTGGTATCAACTTGTATATTAATACATAAAGACGAACTAACACACCAAGGAAATAGATATCCATATCTTTTAAAGTATTAAATTCGGCAATGTTGCCTCGGCAATGTTGAATATAACAAAACAATTATATATGAGAACAATTGTAGATGAATTGACGTTTTTCGCAAATATCCGTGTAGTAATATTATAACCACTTACCACTTTACAATTACTCGATATATAGTCTGAACAGATTGATAAGTGAATGGTGATATTTTCAAAAATGGCCTATATTATAGAATAAGCAGGTGATTTACGTGTATATGAAGCACACACGTGTACAATAGCGGCAATAATTCAGTCTATCAGTTCAGTGCATGTTTCTTGCAGGCAGGAGGTGACTATTTGACTGGCCAGGACTTTACAATGGCCGACTGCATCTTCTTCCCCGTCTTAGCCGTTATGGTGCGTCTCGGCCTTGCTCTGCGCCCGACCTTCCCGGAGCTGGGCAAGTATTATGACACGGTCAGCAAGCGACCCTCCATTATGAAAACTTGGCCGCCACACTGGAAGGGAACCGAGGGAAAGAAGTGGCTGAATGATGTGTGCTAACGTCAAGGATAACAACAGCCCATTGCAAACAAAAACGGTCATTTCTGGTGCTATTTACAATACCATGGTAACTTTTATTAGGTCTTGTATGGTTGTCGCGTCCAATATTTGTAAATGGTCTAACCAAGCCCTACGGTGTTTACTAGTATATGTGAATTGAAATTACGTAAGAATGGGTGCCATCTTGAATTAGCAGCCATATTAGACTGCAATCCAACTTTACAGACTAAATTATGCTTCAGCATCACGGACACATTGCTTTTATTCAAGTAAATAATTTCTATTAAAAAGTAGTAATTTCTAATTAAAAAGGAGGCCTTCTGAAAACATTGGATATGCTCATGGCAGCCATCTAGAAAAATGTTCACCGTATTTCACTAGATGCTGCCTTTTTATATTTATAAAAAATGCAAGCGTCAAGCTTTTGAGCAATCTGTCCAAGTTTCTTACAAATTGAAACCCAACTGTTATGAAGTGTACTACGTGTATTGATATATAATAAAGAAGCATGTATACGTACACATGTACTAGTATTTGTTATGATTATGGCTTTTTTATGTGATTCATACTGACTTCTAGAATTAAGTTAAAGGCCATCATAGACCTTAATCGGTTTAATACGTCTTTGATTCATCAGGGTATTATTCTTCAATTACTGCCGCTATGAATGTTGCAGAAGCGTCGACAAAAACTTTATGTAGCATGTGTTCGTATTTTACCTTATTGGAAAATGCAACATTAAACACATACAAAAACTATCAGGAAAGAGTCACTTAACTTCACCGAGTTGGGAAAACACGCTGCTATCTTCAATCGGCGGTTAAACAGCGATGACATGAAATCGTCTCTCTTGCTTATCCTTTCCGCTTAGAATATGTGTCGTATTTTGCTTTATTTTCATATCAATAACACTTTGCCCTTGAACTAGAAAATGAATACGGGTAAATCAACGTTTTCTGGTACTGCGTGTGAGGCGCATCAAACAGTCAATACAGTACAGAAACAAAATGGCGTTGGCGACAGCCGGGAGATCGATGACACTGTACTGGGGCTCAGGATGCGCACCTTGCTGGTGTGTTATGGCGGTTTTGGAGGAGAAAGGAATCAGAGACTACGAAAGCAAGCTGATCTCCTTCGATAAAAACGAGAACAAATCTGAAGAAATAATGAAGATGAATCCACGTGGTGAGGTTAGGCCCTATGCCGCTCACAAAGCGAATGTGATTTACTGCATGAGTTTCTCATTGGGGTGGGCAGAGATCACCGAGAGATTTATGTGAAAACATTTTTTGGTCTTTGTAAAGTTTTCTAGCATTTGCATTTTTACCAATCTATCAGAGGTTTCTTACATTTCCTTCAATCAGCATCTAGTCGAGTTCCGCACGTGGTACAAATGACCTGTTTGCGGGTCTTTGTACATGTAGGCCTATGCGTACGACAAGGTATGACTGCATATAGCCTCAGTTTTTTATCCCAATTTCCACGTGTGCCCGCTTATCGGTGTCCCATATATTTCACAAAACCGTGAACTTTAGAATGGATTGGTAATATTGAATTAATAATGGTATATTTTATATTAAGGTGCCAACGTTTGTTATAGGGGACATCGTCATCAGTGAATCGCTGGCAATCTGTTTGTTTCTTGAGGTACGCAGATATCTTTATTGAATGTTACCTAGAATAGTGTATTCTATAGGCTACTGGTTTCAAATCCCATTTTCTTTGAAAAAAAAACGCAGTTTTATTCTCTTACTAATGATTCTCGGCTCGACCCGCCTTTGCACTAACATTCTATGTTTTTGTTCAATTTTAGATAATAATAAAATAAAACGTTTAAATAAGTTGGTTCTAAACGAATCATGATTCATTTATATTGACATGTCAGAAGGAAATACTGAATTCTGAAATGTTGTCATGAGTACTGTTACACGCGAGATGCAGTTCTTTTTTCTGTGATCTTGCAGGACACGTACAAGTCGTCCGGTGTACAGCTTATTCCTACCGATGGCCCCAGAAAGGCCGAGGTGCTGCAAAGAACTGTTGAGGTAAGAGATCTACCTCCCATAAACTTATTTGGTGGGTCCTAGAGAAAATACAAAGTGAGCTTCGGCCACAAAAACCTGCTCCTACCATGGGCCATAGGAGCCTGTCCGTGCGTCTTCCAGATGGCCCCAGACATGCAATAAATTGCGAAATCGACATGCACGTCGTTTTGGCATGAATGGGTCCATCTGAAAGACGCAAGCACGGGTTCCTTTGGGCCTTGGTTTGTTCCAATATTGCTTCGTCATTCATGAAGGTTTCTGGCAGGTGACAGAACAAGTTCCCCACGCTTATGTTTCATGTAATACCCGATCTCATGAGACTTGTCAGATTTCTGTGCAACGCCCTTTCCCCCTTTGGGCAAATACAGGGGTGCATGTTTTGACGTTTGTTATTTTCTGCCCTCTTCAGGCCCCGGGATTCATGAAGAAAGGATTTGAAGACCTGGGTTATCTGTACATAAAAAGCCACGTGAATGAGGTAACAGACACGGCAGGCGTGACGGCCAAAAAACTCTCCCTGTCTCTCTCGTAATTGTTTAATCCTTAATAACCCCTTCCCCCTCTCTCATCCCACGTTCTTTCTTGACCTGATAAATAAGTCTTTTCAGATGCAAGTTGAACATTTCATTAAATCGAAACGAAATTATGAAGAGCCATTTGCTTATTGAAAGAGATATTAATGTTTCCCAAATGCAGACTATCAGTTTAACACAACTCTCAGACTTTTTTTTTCAAGATTGAAGTTTATTTATTTCATATTTCAGTCCTTCAGACCCAGAATACATACAATGTAGTTCGGCAGATTATTTTATAGGATATAAATATAATAAAAGTAACAAACATTCTCAATATAAATATGAAAATAAAGGTATACATGAAGTCCACTTATTCAATGATCTTGGTATAATTTTTTCTTATTTTGTTACAATGATATAAGTAAGCTGCCAATCTTTTTTTAATAAAGTCATCGTTTCACGAAGATATAGCATCTGTCATGGTCATTGTTTGTATATCTGGTATGTACTCTTTTCTGAAGTCTATATATTAACTACGCTCTTGTAGGACATGAATCACGTTTACGACATAACTATATCCTTTTGAAAAACAAGCGATGCATAATCTGTTTTCTGCCTCTGTGCTGTTATAGCGTCCATTTTCTACCTGTAAATCATGATTCGATATTCTAAATTTACACAGATATCTGTGTTCTGTGTCTAGGTTACTGTATGACTCAAAGGTCTTTTTTTTTCAGGAAGAAATGAAAGAGAAAAAGGCATCACTGAAAGCTGAACTGGCTCTCTGGGAAGGTTATCTGAAGGCAGTATGTACTAATTGAATCCGTATCAATTTTTTACTTTTCAATTTTGAGAATCATCGATTTTCTTAGTTTTGTGAAATGCCTAATGGGACAGGTGGCCTTATTTGATGTTACATATTGTATCGTCATGTCTAGTAAAATTTAACTTTCAGTTTTAATTAGGTTACAATCTTATAACTGACAAATTACGTGCATTTTCCTGTCATTTCGTAGAATGATGATGTTCTTTTGGGATTTTATTCTTTTGAAATGTGAATTTATATATTCTCAGCCGTACATGTTATGGCGATTTGGCACCAACTTGTATACTAGTATGTTAAGACGAACTAAGACACTAAGGCAATAGATATACACTTCCTTGAACGTACCAAATGTTGTTACAACAATGTAAATCATATAAAAGAACACTAATATATATTAAAACAACTGTAGATGAATTAACGTTTTTCAGCAAATATACATGTAGTATTTTTATAACTAGTTACCAGATTTACCAGATACCAATTTAACAATTACTCATTATAGTCTTGATAAGAGAATGATGATATTTTCAAGAATGACCTTTAATCTAGAAGAAGCAGATGATCTTAATGTATATATAGCGCGCATGTGTATAATAACGTCGACAGTTCAGTGTATCAGTTAAGTGCATGTTTCTTGCAGGCAGGAGGTGACTATTTGACTGGCCAGGACTTCACAATGGCTGACTGCATCTTCTTCCCCGTCTTAGCCGTTATGGTGCGTCTCGGCCTTGCACTGCGTCCGACCTTCCCGGAGCTGGGGAAGTATTATGAAACGGTCAGCAAGCGACCTTCCATTATGAAAACGTGGCCGCCACACTGGAAGGGAACGGAGGGAAAAAAGTGGCTGAATAATGTGTGCTGAAGTGAAGGATAACAACAGACCATTGCAAACAAAAATGGTCATTTTTGGTGCTATTGTCAACACAATAGTAACTTTTGTGAGACCTTAAAATGGACGCAAAGGCGCTTCTTAGATTGTTGTATCTATTTTATCGAAATGATCTAACCAAGTCCCATAGCGGACGCCATATTGGATTAGCAGCCATATTAGATTTTAATCCAGCGTTAAAGACTAATAATACATTATGCTTCAGTATCACAGACACACTGTTTTCTGCTAGTAAATCACGTCTAAAAAGTAATGAAAGCATACGTTCTCCATTTGGCATGCTTGTTGCAGCCATTTTGAGAAAAGGGTCGCTGAATCGCTAGGTACTGGCGCTACTAACAATCTTTTCAGCAATCTGGCCAAGATTCTTGCTAATTGAATTGTTATGAAATGTATTGCAGGAGGTCATATATAATAAAATCTATATCTAAACGTACACATGCACTAGTATCTTTTATGAATAAGACTAATTTTTGTTGTCATTTATGCTAAATTCTATAATTAAGTTTAAGGTCTTCATAGACCGGAATTGCTTTAATACCTCGTTGATTCACCAGAGCATTATTGTGGACATACTGCCGCTATGAATATTGCAGAAGTGTCGACGAAATCTTTTATCTATTTTATTAGGTTACCGTGTGTTCGTGTTAAGATGTGCTTTATGCGTTTGGAGTGTCCCAAAGTCTTTTTTATGTCTGAATATCCTACAGAGCTTTACTTATCATTTCCAATTCGGATATTCATAACGATTCATAAACTCCTCAAATAAAAGTCAATATTTCCTTCTAAAATGCCATGAAGACATAGCGATCTAAATTGATCACGAATCGTTAAGACCCAATTTAATTAATAAGGAACAGAAAAAAGCATTAAATCTAATTGCAGGGACGGGTCGAACAACGATTTGTGAGTTGGAGAAAATAGCCTTTTTCTTGAAGAAAATTAGATTTGGCGAAACAATACAGTATAGAATACATTGTACTTTTAAGTTGAACTTACGACGTAAGTTTATAAGTAATGAAAAGAAAAAACAATATTATGAATGATGCTTAGGGTTTGATAATGATTCTCATCCAGTTCGTCCAATTCCTGTTTGGCAAACACGCAACCATTTACAAATGAATGACTGTCGTGCGCATGCGCAGTCACCAATCGCAAACTCCTTCCACAAGTATGGGGCCGATTATCTGAAATGCACTCAAATTTTAAAAAAATGCAATTAAAATACATTAATATCCAAGAATATAAAATGAATCTTTATTTTGACAGCCTTTTAATTCATTTCACTTTTATTGTGATTATAAGAGAAATTTCTTTCTGAATGTAGCGCGAATTTCGAAAATTCTTCATTCCAGCTGGTTCTGGTTGATTCCTTTGAATCAGAATAAGTGTGACTGTGGCGCCATTAACTTTATGTATTGCAACAACCATCTCTCCAATGAGAAACAAAATGAATTTAATAATGGGCATTGTATTGAGCTGGCAGCATTTTAAACCCATGCACTTTTTTTTTGTAATTGGCGGCCATCTTAGATTTTCTTGAAATTCCCAAGTTGCAAGAATGAACGTATGTTTGTTAACCGCCCGATGGGTATACACGTAGTATCATATGAAAGCAGGTCGAGATAATAGGCCGAGAAAAACAATTGTGTCGACACTATACCCAAAATACCAGTTATTTAAGTAACCTAACTACTAAAATAAGTGAACAAGACCGGAGAATGCCTTAGTTGAAATTTGTATGCAAATAAGCAGGCCAATCAAGTGTGTTTTTAGTTTTCTTATCAAGTTAAAACTTGTATTTTTCAAAACGAACATTTTGAGCCACGCTATAACATCAAAATGAAGTCACGTCATTAGCAGATGTAGCCATTCGATATTCCAGGGATGTGTTCATTAATTTCATTAATAACCGCGATGTAAATAGACAAATGCAGGCTTTATACGCTACTTAAATATCCATGTAGGTGCCCATCTCGCGTGTACTCCCAAATCACTATTTGATTACGCATTAAGTCTTTGGCTTTTTGGGGGTATTCAGGCCGTTAATGTTGCTTCAAAATTTATTTTCATACTTTTCTAAATTTGCATGATTAGAATATGCCTGTTAGCCTATTCAAGGGTTGTTTAATCAGCCCACCAATTATTAAATGCTGTTCGATCGATATTATAGCCGGGGCTCCCAGACCCGGGGATATCATTTGTGTGGATAAAATAAGAATGCTCTCTAAAGATTCACCTATCGCGTGCTTTTTTTTACTAATCATCTTTTCTTTTCTTTTTTTAAAGAGCTGGGAAAGAAAGAAGGCGGCACTGTGACCTTTTAAAAATTGGATCACATATGAAAAACGTTTCCCGCACCGGGAATAATAGAAACGGTTCATAATAAAAATGATTAAAATAGGCAAAGTCGCAAAGGCAAATTAAAAGCTTAATGAGTCCCATTGAAATTATAAGCAATACATCCTACGTCCGTGGCAAGGGGAGTTTGGGGGAGTCGCACGAACCGCCCTTTTTACGGAGAAAATGTCCCCTTTGGGTAAATTTTTAGATAGGTACACGAAGGTTTCACAGTAAAAGGTCCCCCTTTTTTCTCCGAAAAACAACACCCTCTTTGAAATCGTTGGCTATGGGCCTGACACCTGTGCGAATTTCTGGAATATTTCATATTGTTTTGCCTCACCAAGTCATGTCGTAATGAACGCCTGGAACTCTGGGGCCTGCTGAGGAAAGGCCGCGACGTAATAGTATAAATAGATGACATCAACGCTACGGGGAGCAGTATGCGATGGGTCTGCGTATGTGACAAGAGCAAGGGAGCAAAGAAATAGGAGGAGCAGCAGCAGAAATTGGGGCGCAGTCGTCGACCAAAATATAAAATTGATAACTGTCAGAAACACTGTCTTTTGAGAAAAGAAAACTGAGGGGCATCTCAGAAAACCACAGTTGGTTGGCGGCAATTTATTCAAAGTTTTCATCCACTCAAGTTGATTTTTATTCCTCCATAGGCGGACTTTTTATTTGACATCTTTATTTTACGAGGTGAGTAAGATGTTTTTTTTGAAACAGCTAGTATACGGCCCGGCGGAATTTTTTTTCACGTCAGAGTCTTTCCATAAAGTTTGCTAGGGGGATTGCATGAAATACATGTAACACTTGTTTACATAAAAATACCGGCGTATAATTTACTTTGAAGGAGTTCCTATCGCCTAAAGATACAAATTTAGCCATAGCATTTTTAAAGGTTCAGTCATGTTAAATGTTTGTTCTTGATCAATTTACCGATTTTGGATATTAGAGCAATACGCAGGACAAAGAGTTCTTGATAATACATATCCTTTACAATATAATGTTTCAAATAACGTGTTACGATGGCTGTTTCAAATATACAAAGAAAATTAAATGTACCAGAGAGTTGCATCAAATAACATGTTATAATAGATCAATTTTCGCCACGTGTCTGTTATTGTCATACGCTGAATCTGAGGTAATCGGAACGGTGCTCATTTTCAGTTTCTTAGAATTGTTTTATAATGTATCTTATACACGCAAACGCCAATTTATTGTCCATAAAGTATACAATTTGAAAAACTCTTGAGCCAGAGCGGAATGCCTAGTGTACAATTCTTCGTTTAAGATTAGAATTTTCACGTCTTAGGTTGTAGTATTTTAGTACACACAATATTGGTGCATCATTAATCATACAGACAGACAGCAATGATACTCTCTTTGCTATTAACGCCTTTCTGATATACGTTATTTTTAAATTTCTATAGTGAAATCAAAGGCTTTTTTTTTGTAAATCTTGTGTTGTGCTTTGGTACGATTCATCGGCAATTCGTAATTCGGCTCAAGGTAAAGCTGAACAAAACAATAAAACTAATAAGAACACGGACATGAAGCAAGAATTTAAATAATGATCCATGCAAACAATATTATTTCAGCCAGAATACGCCGTAGATTGAAACTTTGTTTTGTACAAATGGGTGGAAACGGCTTTCAATAATGTACGAATATAATTTTCGGTCTTGTAAAGTGGGACAGATTCGCGAAAAACTCTGCAGGAGAACGTTCTTTCCCCCCATCTTTTCCTAGTTTTGTAGCATGGAACAGTAAAACTAACTGGCAATCAATTTTTTCACTTCTCTTTCCTCCTCGCCACACCCTCAAGCGTTCATTAAAAAGGACACGCGGGACTCATCAGGGAAACACTCATACTTTCAAATCGTCCTCAAGGATCTCAATACACTTTGGAGTAGCCTATCTAATCATTATCCCTTGTTCCCTATATTTGTAGCACTGAACGGCCGTCTTTCTTCTGTTTTCCTTTCTATTTACGTAAGGTTAAATTCTCTGAAAACGGCTGTCCTGGCTAGACAATGCAATGATCGATCAAAACCAAAGCGCTGGATTTCCACACCAACCACTCCGTGATTAATAACAACGGTATAAGTTTTCTTATTAAATTGGCACGTTGCCCTTTTTGTGAAGTCGATTTCTGTGACATCCATTCCTTGATCTTTGGTTGATTTTTGTCTTTGACTCTATTCAATTTAAGTCTAAAATTGGCACATTGCCTTTTTGTAAATTGACTTGAGTGACATGTATTCTTGATCTCGGGTATAGTTTGTCTGTGATTCTGTTCCATTCAATTATATCTTCAACTAAGTGCACGGAAATTGGACCCAAGAGACCTGTAAGAGGAAGAACGGTTTCCTGTCAACTAAGACTGTCTTTAAGAATCTTTGAGTACCAGGTAGCTCTTCTCCAATGACATCCAAGATCAATACGTTGCTTATTCAGTGTCTGTGCTCTGTTCTTTACAAACCTATTTATCTTCCCGTCGCAGACGCAATCCCCGATAATAATACACAATTGCAAAACAATAACAGCGCGTCATTCCTGCACCATCTCAGCGTACAAAAACGACTTCCAATATCAACAATGATAGAGTAAACTTGTCACTGGACATCAATCACATATAGAAAGTAAGAGTTTTGATAACAAACGGACATAATTTATTAAATAACCGAACTGCTGCCACTGCTGTCGTCAGATAAATTGACATGGAACGTCCACCTAGGCATTCGGTTTCCTTCTAAATTCCCTGGGATATTGATGAAACGTCGAACCAGTGGCGGATTTAGAGGGTGGGGGGGGGATGGTCCTGACCCCCCCCCCATGATTTCTGAATAAAAAATCACACCAATGGTCCCCTCTTGAAATTAGAATTTAGACTACTTTTAAATAGTACCAGATCGTCCTCTAAAATACCAACAATACCGACGTCTTCTCATCCGCGCCTCCCCCTATAAATAATCCTTAATCCGCCCCTGTTTCGAACTCATACCACCTGTACGGAACCGCCCAGTGAAATTCAACTTTCAATCTTTATTTGAATAAAATTGCATCTAGGTGAATTATATTTAATCCCCATTGCTATCCAAAGTGAACGTCCCCCGTGATTTTTCGTGTTTGAACTTAATATGCAATCACATTCAGGCGGGCTGCCGTGAGCTGTCACTTCTTGAAATGTACGAATGCATGTATAATCCAGTGCGTCTGGAAAATATTCGTAATGGGTTTTGCGATACAAAGAAGTAGTTTCTATATACTCACACTCTCTTGGTTTACAATGTATGTAAACAGAACGTTAAAAATCTTAATTGAAAACACGCCCGAGGCCAAATGGTGCCAACGCGAAATAAAAAAAAAATCAAGTTAAATGAAATACTAAAACATTACACTTCCATACATTCAGGATATCGAAGACTGAACAGATATTACTTTGGGAAACCGTTACCCGTTAATTAAAAACAAACAGAATTAAAAGCCTAACACTCTGGCATAGCAAGCAAATTATTAGCAAGTGTGATTGCGTGACTCTTTTCATAGCCGCGCAGTGATCACTGGCAGCAATAGTGCGATCCTTGCACTCCGTTTTCGTACGCATACGCGTGGTAGATAGCTCCAAGCTAACGAACTTTAAACTTCTCGAATCATTTGTGTCAGGCATTATCATTCATTACTGCTTCTGCCCGCATATTCACCCTGACACAGAACAAGAGACTGCATATTCTACATGTTCCACCGACGATAAGCTGCCTTCGCCATGACCGTAAAGCCGTCGTATAAGGTCCAGCGCCTTTCTCCGAAATGGACTGTAAGTGTAACCGATTACTTTTAATGTAAGAAAGAACGTTTTCATTTATGATAAACTGTATTGAAATATTTCGCAGTTTTACTATAACTAATTGAGCATATAATCAAAGTGGGAGTCCAAATGATTGATTACAGAACTTAAATGTAACTATTTCATGACCTAAATATTATACAGCATATGGTTATCAGTTACGCATAAAAACCACTTTACTTTCAAGCAGTCTTAATTCTGACTTAAAAGCCTTACGTGCAGGCTTTTCTTTTGTTTCTCTCTCTTCTCTGTTGGAACGCAGTTATCTACTCGTTTTACCGATACTTATTGCATTATGGGAACATTTGTTTCTTCTCCCGTGTTTATTTCGCGTTAGGTAAACACCTTTCTTTCGTTCCATGGGTAATCAAAACGTTAGATCAAAGTTGAAACAACATGACGGACTTCATTTCAGAATTTAATTTAAAACAGTTGCATTACAGCTAATAATTGTCATTACCCTTTACAAATTAATAATTCACATTACATATACTGTGCCCTTGTTTGGTTCATTACCCCTATATGGCCGTATATGTACAGTATAATGCTGAATGTGTAAACTGCATATTCTCGTTGTTGGATAAACTTATATGCCAGTTTGTTAATAATCAACAAGCACACTGGACGATAGAGCGATAAAGGCAACAGCACATAATTTCGCGTTTTAGCATCTACGTTCCTGTGGAACTGTTCCAAAAGAGCAATTCCTGTTTCAGAGTGGGCCTATATGGGTTCTGTTCATTGTTGTTGAAAATGACTAAATAGGTCCTGATCACAACAGCTAGCGAAAGGCAAAAACAAGTTTGGAAAACAGCACTCAGTTTTATTAAGTTCAGTTATTTGTCTAGGCTGATACACCTCTTTTCTGTACATGATACACAACTGTTTTTACAGAGAAATCTTTCAGGTCATCACCTATGACTCGTGCAAATGGATATTAAACTGCATTTATAATACACCGGGGAATGATGCTAATTAAATTATCTCGTTTTTATTGTTCAGTCTAATTAGTCCAAGAGGGCTTGCTTCCTGTTGGGTTCTTTCGTTGTTTGGCAGAATCTGTACCTATGGGACTGTTGCTTGCTTTATGATCTCTGACAGCGTGTGCTTCTTCGCCGTGCCTTTCAATCGTGTTCGATTGGAATCGCCAAGAGAATTCAAACTGTTGCATCTGTCGCATATCTTGTATTGTTATTTTGGTTTCAGAATACTCTGAGGGAAGAACAAGTAATCTCTTGTTGGAATTGTTTAATTTTCCTGATGGTACCATTAGACTTAGAAATCAGCCCTGTAGACGTATAACATCTGCGCCGTCCTGGATAATGTGAACACAAAGAATAATGACATCGCTTTCTTGGTGTCTTTGCTTAAGGAAGAAATAAATCAATAATGTTATCATGTAATATCAACATAAATAACAAGATGCAACACGGCAAATGCAATTACCACACATTTAAACATACCTTATTTTTACCTTGGTATAGTTAATTTAACTATACACCTTAAGGTCTATCAATTCTTTTACTTTAATATAATATTTGAAAGATGAATATATAAAAAAAACGGTGCCCACTGTTTTCAAAACTGATCCCTACTGGCCACCGATATCATTGCTCAAATTTTCAATAAAATTTCTCTTTTCGTGTTTACATATCCCCTATTTTGATTATAGATAGCCTTTATTAGGTATCCTAAATATTAGTATCCAAGGAGTGTGTATGTACATGTACCAGCCTTGTTGCTCCATGTAACTACTCAAGCTGATGGTAATTATGCCCTGATAACCACACCTGCTGTGAGCCTTAACAACTTTGCTTCTGAATATTTCAAACATTTGTTGTTGTTTCCAGTAGTAACCCCTCGCCATAGCCACCTGTAATACAAGGTAGTTGAGTTGTTGATGTGGTAGTTTTGTCCATTAGCAGGATTCACAAATGTGGAGGAGTTATTTGTAGAAGAAAAAGTGTTGCTTCTCAAGGATGTCAAGGATTAAATACGATATGTTCATTATCACCAAAGCAGTAGTTTGTTAAAACAATTTAATTGTTTAAAAACCATGGACATTTTTACTATTTTTATCCTAGAGCAATGTAATGTAAATGTTTTCGTAATCTTTTTTTGTTTACTAGACAAATATCAATTAAATTGAGATCTATGTTGCAAAGACAACTTAGCATTGCAAGCTGTCCGATTTTAGTAGTTTTAGTTTATCCCAGGAGCTTTGTAGAACAGGCCTGATGAGACGACATAACAATACACTCTGTGTCAGCGGTCATAGACCGGTCGAGCATAATCACGAATTTTCAGGGTAACTTGAGCTTCGACATCCACGCAAAAGGTTCACTCAAAGAGCGATTTTGTCCGGCGATAGAGGCATCATGTAAAATGCATTACGTGTTTAACTATTAGATTAAGTCTTATGCTGTAGCTGTCCCTGAAGAAAATCTGTCAGAACTAATTTCAATTCCAGTCAATCAACACACATCAGGAGAGAAGTTTTCGTGATAACAGATTATACAGTGTTAGAGGAACTCGCGTAATAAGTTCGTTTGAATTAAAGGGACGGCAAATGAAGAACCTGCACATCCATCGATTTTTTGCTCCTACATATAATGAATAAGTACACCTTTCTTTGTTAGGATCTTGATGGTCTCTATTATAGTCATCTAATTGTACGAAAAATTGAAAGCAATCTTTTCTTTTATAGGGACAATGTTATTTCAAATATGATGTGGGCAAAGAAGAGGAATGGTCTCTGATAACAAAGATTTTCTTAATTTCAGCATAGAAACAGAATGAACACGCTGCCGTTATGTAAAAGTAGTTCGTGATAAACATGACAACCACGATCTTTTTGCAGGACACACAGTGGATATTGAAAAAGGCAATTGGAAAGATACACGATACAATGTTGTGCAAACAAGCTAGCTGTTATACATGTATATTGACTTCCAGCCAAAAAGATATCACCTTAAAATTACGCTGGATTACCCCCGCCCCCTTTTTTTTAAACAATAAGAGCCTCTTATTTGTTAGCAATCAAAAGCATTTATTGACAAAAAAATATTTAGCCACAATGGTTTATAGTTTCATTAGAGCTGGGTTCTGAAAGGGGGCACATTATTTGACGTCAGAATTACGTCCATACAATTAATATCAATGCTCTCGGAATCATCTCTATAATTTCTCAATTTAAAAATAGGACTTTTTAAAACAATGACAATGAGTAAAAAATGGATCCAGTGTCATGTAGGCCTACGCTTGTGCCTCTTAGATAGACCAGTGCCAATTGTTTTTGTAAGTCCCATTCTCAGATTTTAGCCCACATACATCATGCTTACACTAACTCGTACCAATATAACAGAGGACGCTTACGGACAGTCTATAACGACAGTTACTGTAGACTGAAAGTGGGGGATCCAAACCAAAGTCGGTAGAGATTAGCAACCTTAGAAGTACCACCCTTTAATGAGTGCACATTTTGTATTTTGATTTTACAACAAACAGGTTTTGGCAATTTCATGGTGGTACAATGTATATGCTGTCAGTGACGCTGTAGATTTTTTTAAATTTTCATACAAATGTCAACAATTAACTACGGCTCATAATGCCGTCAACTTGGCTGCGAACCTTGTCTTAGGTACATGCATGTGGATCGAAGAATACGGAGTCGATCTTCGATGAGGGATTTTACAAAAATGAATAAATTTATATCGATTTGTTATTCATACTACAACACCCATAAATGCACCGTGTACATATATACACATTTGAAAACCGTGCAGTACAATCCATAGACGATGACGTGTCAGTCACGTGACCAAGGCTCTTTGATGAAGGGTCTTAATGTCGTGTCCCATAGGACAAGAAACACGTTCAGTCGCTTTAGAAACGATATACTTTGTTTACTCTGAGATACAAGATTGGTTTTATTTCTACAGTTTAATTGTGTTGCCTCAAGGCTGCAATACGTGTATTTGCACCTGCTGGAATGATGATATTATATTTGCAAACAGTCTTATAATACGTCTTCGTTAGACATTTTAGAGTGCACGTGACTTTGCTGTCTCTTAAGGGTATTCCACTGATGCTCGACCCGGGTAAATTACATGCCTTTAGCGTATACATGGTATTAACTGAAATGTATCTGTTGTCTGTGGTCGGTTTGTTCATTACTCCAAGCGTGCCAAAATAAATGTGCTCTGAAACCAACCAACAAAACGTTAAGTGCTTTTGCAGGAAGATGACAAATGATGCTCGCAGTTCAGAACACAGAGAGAAATTCAATAAATTCCATTTATCTAATGTTGCAGAGTGCATGGAAAAGTTCTTATGGAACGGTTAGAGAATTATAATTGTTGTAGTTTTTTTCTGCGACATGTATTTTCTCCCTCATATGCATTTGATGCTATGACTTGAAACGATGTCGTCGATTTGTCATATTCCGTTTAAGTGCTAAAACACTAATGCGCTCTTGAAAAATAGTCGGTTCGGTAGGAACGGTGTCTAAGCAACTTGAGACATCGAGAACGCAGGACCGAGACAGATGGAGCTCGAGGGGACTTGCAGGTGGCCTGCACCCTACCAGGGGTAACAGGCAAAAGTAAGTAAGTGGGACGGTGGACGTTTAATCAAATGAGAGATGGTAGAAAAGCACCTTTTAATATCGTACAAACGCTGCTCTTTACGGGCTTTGTTTGCCTATTTTACGAGAACGAACGTAAGAAGGGAGTGGAATGGAAACCTCTACCGGTATATACAGGGTGTACAAAACGAGAACGGGTAAAACGAACCGCCATTGCCTGTCGCCTGGCGTATGTTGGCAGATAGTTTTGTAGATGTTTTTTTTTTTTTAAGGAAACAAGTCAAATGTTACGCATTGGTCGAATGTTAAAAGACTGAACCCTGGGCATTAGTCGTAATCGCGGTGTAATTCAGCTACTAAATTAGCCCAAGAACGTCAATTGACGAACTTGATTGGCTCTAACATCTTTTACGTATCACATTAGAGTCTAACTCGGCAAACAAAAGACTGAACCCTATATAATTATATCTCCCCTTTGTGCATCAATTTCCTAATTGGGAATGCCAATTGTCCTTTAAATGTCAGACTGGGAATATTAAAGTTTTCGCAACCAATGCCCAATCATTGAAATTGATCTTATAATTGAAAACCGCAGATGAAACGGAAGGTCAACAGGTCAAGGTGGCGGGAAATCGATACTGCCCACCAGAGGGCAGCAGAGTGGTGAAGCCAATTTTTTTTTTTTTTTTTTGTAAATTTTCTCACAGTCACAGTGTCACAGTGCAAAAAAGGATCCAGAATTAGGCGACATGCAGAGGAGTGTTTGTTAATATTAATTGAAGAAGCTCTCTGTGGTCCTGATAGAAGGTAGGGAATTGTGCTGACATATACAATGACATTCGCTGTACAGAATTACCGGGCCCTACGCCTTTGCTGCTGTACTTCCATAAAAATGTTAAAAACTTGGCATTTCTTAAAATTTCTGAAATCTGTCAAAAGCATATGTAAGTCAACCGATGTACCTCGAATGATCCCTTCTGTCTTATGTTAAAAAAGGCCTTCAATTTTACGTGATAGACAATCATACATGTATAAAAGACGGGTACTTAAACTTCCGGCAAGTTAACCGTTATACACATTGAATAATTTTTGAGGAACACTTTCCAGCGCTGGAGTCAATGCTAGGTAAACTCTAAATGGAGTTGGTCAAGTGAAATTATTGTAAAAGCACATATTTGTCGTAATTGTTCAAAAAGATATGACATGAAAACGCTGCATTTTTCAATTCTATAAACAGTTTGGTCATCTCAATACTACAATTGCACTTCACTAAATGTCACCGTATCAATTACCCAGAAAGTATATTGGCCGGGAAGCAAACTACTATATTCTTTTGTACTTTCTTATGCTTCATGTTAACATTTCCGTACATGTTTGATAATTAAACCATTCATAAATCGCAAATAAAGCAATATTTTAACAGATATCAACGAATAGCTCAAAACCAATCTCTTTGCCAAATTAGTTAATTTTGTCGGAAATATAGCGATGTCACATCACTTTTGCTCCATTGTTACGCTTCCATTTTTGTGTCATTAGGGGAGACTGTGGCTAGTTGGCCCAGTCAGACACTTTTGGCCCATCAGAGCCAGCTAGGAATGAGTTACAGTAACAAAACCGGTTACAAAGTAAGCCCCATGAACTAAGCTAAGTATGGAACGTCATTATGTTTTCAATATAATGGCTCACAATTTGACAAAAAACGCAGTTGACGTCAGGGGGGCCAACTTGCCCCGCCACGGGGCAAGTTAGCATTCTATACGAAAATGAAGTAAGTATCCCATGTAAATGCCTTGAAATACATTTTTACACATTTTTAATTTATTAAATTGATTTTGAGAGTCTATGTTCAATAAATAGTTCGAACGAGGCAGGTTTCTTGAGATTTCCGCACGTCACACTGTATTTGTTGCAAGAACCAAAATATCTATTAATAAAACTTTTTTTGTTTTAATTAAGAATAAATTAAAAATGGTATAAAGCAGGTTTTTAATTAATTAAAACGAATAATAAATTTCGGTTTAAAAGAAACTAACAAATTCAGTATTAAACTGGTAATTATTTACCAAACCGTTGAGTTTGTTTCAACAATGGTCTCTAGCTTTGTTGCGCGCAAAGGATTGAGGGTAATATTAGGTTCCAACTTGCCACGAGTCAAGGGGGCCAAGTAGCCCCGGGTGCACATTGTTTATTTTAAAGGATGACAGCCATTTATGGTCCTAGAATGAGCAACGATGATACATTTATGTGAAACTTGAAACAATGAGCTTCAGTTTGATGCCCTATACATATATTATATTCGATCAAAAGCCTGTGAAAATAGATTTTTAAATCTCTTAAACAAAATTACTTTTAGGAGCAAAAATCGTTTATTTGGACTCACCGCCTAAGTAAAACTTTTTAACGTTCTACACATCCTTAGCATTGTAGGCTACGGTCACTTTACAAGAGTATGTGGCCAACTTTTTTTTACCTCGTAGTTACTTTTTCATAAATTGACGGAGGGCCAACTTACCCCGGGGTCCAACTAGCCCCGGTCTCCCTTACATAGCCAAATGCTGTTTTCGGTGCCAGTGTTTTGGCAACATTTGTTTATTTAATTTCTAATTGTTGTATTTCTATGGCAACGTTAACGATGATCATGCCCCTCGCCATTTTAGTGACGTTGTGCAGATTTAGAAAGTCGAGAGACAAAGGTGAACCCCAAAACTTAAGGGACGCTGCCTTCGTGACCGCGGTTAGTTGAGGGGAGAGGCAACAACGGTGCGCGAAAATAAATACAAATACAAAATACAACCAAAATATCGCTGCACCTAAAGAACTCCTACAGTGGCAATTCTACTGCCAGCTCATGTAATATATGGTAAGATTAGATTATCCCGAATTAAAGATAACGTGTATGACAGATGCTTTGTCCGCGCGCTATATAATCAATCATACTTGACGTTTCAAAAGCACGTAACAGGCTAAAAAGGAAATTTCGGATAATTAGCTGATGATAACTTATCAGTCAATAACATTCCATGCTTCCGGGGACATTATGCGTTAAATGAACTAATGTTGTGCTGTATCATTTTGTCGACACCCACTGGCTTAGCAAATACGATATATTTCCAATCCATCTTAACAATTAAGAGTGTTTCGAATGGCATCTGCTGTCTCTTGGTGATTTGTCAGTCTTGTCAGTCAGTCACATACATAAATTTACAGTAGGTATTCAGTACTAACATTATTTACAGAGAAGAGTGTACATTAAAGTACATTGCAGTAGAGAAGCCAGAATGCTAGCTGTATTGGAAAACTCGAAAGGCAAATTCCAGCAGAAGTAAGCAGAGCCAACGAAACAAACGAATAAAAAATTAAAAACCAGTATCGATAAATAAATAAATTAATTAATTAATCAATTAAAAAAAATAAAAACCGGTATAAATAAATAAATAAATAAATAAATTGATTAATAAATAACCAAACAAACTAATAATATACCAGAGGAACATATGCGTTTGGGAGATAAAAAGCTTACCCGAATGAGGTTCGCGGTGAACCTTAGCAAGCTAGCGCGACTACGCGGTACAAAATCGAGCTGTGATATCACACTGGTGCCAAAATAATCTATGCAGTTGTATGTGCTGATTTTTTTGGTGATATTTATCGAGCATATAATAATAATAATTTACAAAATGATGTAGTGTGAACGTGTCCCTTGTTTAATTCTACCAGCATTGTTGCTTTTCAGAGTTCAGCGGTCATCTTGAAATGAATGCAAAAGACGAAGACGTGTTCATCACCATTGACAGTATTCTAGATATCCAAACAACGGGGGCGCCCAGGGTGATGGGAAACAAGGCTACGACAGCTGGCTGGCAGCCTGAACCTGAGACCATTCCCCATCTGCAATCCACACCTCCACCGGTGGACATGAGCAACGAGACCGTCGTCGCCTACACCAACCATTCCAATGTCCGGTTTATGTCCAGTGCCGGGGGCTGTGACGCTCCAAGCAGTCTGGATGTGCAGTTTTTGTGTCTGGCTTTCCTGGCGGAATATCACTCCATCCTGGTTATGGCTCCCTTGGGAATGGTGTGTAACATCCTGGCCTTGGTGACGTTTTTGGCCTCCCGTCTCCGCGACACGTCCACCTCGTGCTACCTGGTGGGACTGGCTGTCTGTGACTCCGTGGTGTTGCTAGGCGACATGCTGGAGGTCTTGGTAACGGCCCAGGGTTGGACTGAGAGCTGCTTCTTCTGGTTGCCGCTTTGGTACCTCAGCGCCGTTGGTAGGTGCATGTCTGCCTGGATCATCGTCACCTTCACCATTGAGCGGTTTGTGTCCGTGGCGTTCCCGCTGAAACGACAGTCTATTTGCACCGCCAAGAGGGCTAAGCAGATGATAGTGGTATTGCTTCTTTTTAGCCTGGCGTCTAACGCCTACTTCTTTGTGCTCTTCGACTACATTCCATCGGTAAGCAACCCCAATTCGTATAGATGTAATGTGAAGCCAGCTATGATAGAAGAGTACCTGGTGTGCTCTATCGTATTCAAAATTGGTATGTCCATTATCCTCCCTATTGTTATAGTTGTGGTATTCAATACTGTCACTATTCGCATCCTGGATGTGGTGAAGAGAAAGCGCCGGCAGATGTCCTCAAAGAAAAACGACTCGAGCGATGAACAATCTCTTATAGACAAAACCACGGCGATGCTACTGGTCACGTCCACGTGCTACGTCGTGCTTGCTATCCCTTACGTGGTCACCTGGATTGTCACTTACTTCTACCAATACATCGAAGGGGCACCCGACAGGGCCCAGTCTCGGACCTATTCAGGCATCAAAAAGATCACCCATATTTTCTATGTCATGAACTTTGCTATCAACTTCTTCCTTTACTGTATCTCCGGCACCGTGTTTCGTTCCGAGCTATCCTTTGTATTCAGGAACCGTACCTGTCAGCGCCAGCGGAGCATGTCCCCGACTGGGGTATCATCCAATACCATCGTTAACAGAAGGAACCTGCACGCCTCTGACAGATCAGCCGCGGCCGCCATGCAGATGGGAACTTACCATAAGAAGACCGATACTACTGAAGGATCACAACGTCCCTCGGTTGAGATTTCAAGCAAGGACGGGCATTGTGTTGGAAGCTCAAACTCCTCCATTTGTGCTTCGTCCTCTTCTGGTCCTAATGGTAATGTTGTGGAATCAAAACTATAAGAATATTTCTTAACACGAGCAGCTAAGAGGACGGCAATATGTAGTGCGTGTCTATAATGGTAGTGAAGTACCTTGTAATTCATCGTAATCTGAACAATAATCTTCGCATTTATTAGTCTGAAAGGAAATCTCACAGGAGACTTCAAGGAGGCAACAACTGGTTAACGCTGTATTACTTTTGCTTAAGTACCTTTGTTAATATTTTGTTCATTCATGAAATATTTGTTGAAGTATATGATCACAGGTGTTTACGCCTCAGTGACACTGCTGGAATGTTATAACTATCTGACTGATTTACGTTCGTGAAATGTAAACGTTGTTGTTTCATGAGGTAACTGTTCATCAATGTCTTCTTAACTTTTACACTGTAAATGGGGAAATGGAATGTTTTTTCACTTGATCGCCAATATATCACTTAGTAGAGCTCCGATTAATGTGTTGGCTATCACAGTCCCTGTTAGGAGTGTTACATGAAAGGGCTATATGTGAAATCCGAAAACTGATTTAAACGTTTAAACTAATTTTTTGTCTATTTTGACACAAAGTAAATTGACAGTCGTCCAACTAAATGGGATACTGCGCCAGTTTTATGACAAGAGAGAAACGGTTAATGTTTCAGACTTATAGTTTATTTAAGTGGACTTGTATACATTTATTTCAAACTAAGTAGAGTAAACCAGTTTTTTATTTACAAGTTTACACCAAATTTGGTGCTTCAGCCGTTTTGTGAAACTTGGCCAGCATTTACTTAGAGTGTACCAGGTTTTGCTTCTATCTGGAACGTTACCACCGGAATCTATCGAAAGTGATTGTAAACTTGAGATGCTTTTTTGACGTTGTGTACGAGTTGTGTTTTAGATTTGTCATAAGAAAAAAAAGATGCTATTGCAGTTATTAAGCTATATATCTGGGATCGCGCAGATTATTCGTGGTTGATTCTAATGCCAATTGTGCCAGTTGTCATGCCAGTTGTGCCAGTTGTCATGCCAGTTGTGCATTTTAGTCTGTCCTCGCAAGTGGTAACTAGGAACAGCCACTGGTGTGACAGGAATAGTAGTCCGCTAGGAACTGTGTAGTCCGTTTCTCATTACTTTGTACAAGTGTCACTCTTTCCATATATTAACTACGATAATCCAAGCTTTTACCAGTCATATGAACTTAAATTCTTTGGACTGTAATTCCTGCAACACGGCTTCCACAACAAATAGTGACTGTATCACAATCTTTGAATAAAATACAGACTTGCTTTAAAAAACTGAAATGTTTTCCTTGTTGACGACAAATGTCGCTGTTGTTGTGTCAAACCAACGGGCTAAGATCATCAATTTTGTACAACTTAAACCTTGATTTAAAAGATCACGCGAATGCTCTTGCTTCAACATTCTATAACGTCTGATGCGTTCCTCTACCTTTCCGTAGCATAGCCTTCCACTTGCCTTATAGAACATGTCCGTGTATTTTGTCATCTGTGCTTGACTGGTGGATGTACAATTTGGATAAAGTGGGGGTCACAAGGCTAAAATATTTTAAACTCATATAAACAGTAGACGAGATTCTTTTTAATCATATTATGTAGGACGCAGGGATGGATAATTACTTTTTCAGAGGGAAGAAGGGGATAATTTCGAAGATTAAGAGGGGGCATTTGCCAAGTGGGTCGAGCCATATTTCTGTAAGTCTGCGGATCAACTGGTTGGAAATGCTGACAAAGAAGACAAAGTCTTATAGACTTGTGTTGACGGGCGTTCTGACCAGCTTTACTGATGGGTTCGTGGTTCTCCTGGTCGACGGGAGTGGGAGGGGGGCTAAAAGGGGGGCATAAAGGGGTGGGAAATAATGAAAAATAAGTACGGTATTGTTGCATATTCAAGGCTGGGGCACATCAGTTTCCCTCATTTTCCCTTATCAAAATGGGTCGAATGCAATTTCCAGTAAACACTCACGCTTTTTGTTTGATGAGGCATTGCAGGGAGGCGCATGCAATGTTCTGAGGATATGAAACAGCCGTCTTTAAACTCTGACACTTTTGTGCTCTGGTTGGATTAATTGCAGTGCGCGGTGCACGTAGTATCAAACCCCTCCCCCCCATAATTTGGACCAACTCTGTCAAAATCTCCAGGAAGAATAGGATAATATCCCACAAGATAGACTCGTGACCCTTGTTAAAAGCTTACCGCGCAGCCTGTAGGAGATAATACTCGGTAGACACACGCAATTAGACACGTGGCATTTAAACTACACCTTGAGATGCTGATTGGTTCTGAATGTGGTGACATTTAAAGGTGTCATTTCAATTTTTGGACATTTTGCTTCTTTCGAAATCACGGTTAGAATTCTAATTTTGAATAAATAATAAAGAATTTGATATCTACACCGGTATTTTGTTATTCTATACCATAAGTCATGTTACATGTGCCATCGATAATAAAAAATACTAATTTAAAACTGCAATGCAATCATGTGTAAACATAACACATGAATACGGCTGTCTTACAAACCTTTTGATTAACAGCGTATTGTAAACAGTTTAAACTTCAATGTATCGCGTGACTTAATTATGTCTCGGGTCTTTTTGGAAGAGCAGATTACAAATTTACAGGTATGTGCACCAACTTCTAACAAAACAGCGTTGTCCTCTTAGGTTCACAAAGAGCTCAGTCATTCTTAATGCCACAATATACCCCCATTAACAATTGCTCCTCTTGGCAAGAGCGCTTTTTTATACAGAGATTTTTATAATACAGCTTATAATGTAATTGCAGACTGCAATAGGAATGCCACACGGTACCCATGGGTAAAAGCAATCACTATAAGAAGTCATATACTTTATACTTAGAAATACGTTAGTTGTAAACGCTATGGGATGCCTTTCAAGATCGGTCAGTATAATAACGTTAAAATAGCAATACAATTGTACTACATCAGTCAATATGAAGCGCTTAGCAATATACGTCTACAAGACCATTCAATATGAAAGGCTCAGCAATATTCTTGTACAAGATTCTGCAATATGATACGCTAAGCAATATAGTTGTACTTGTAGAAAGCATGACTGCCTTTCTCACTTATGATAAAATCTAATTCAGAACTTTTTAATCTAGATTATTTGCAAATTCACGTATAATTGAGCCTTCCTCAACGGAATGTTCTTTAAATCACAATCGGCAACGACAGAACGATGTTTCAACATCTCTGTAATGGCATATGGTTTTCAGATAATCTAAATAGTACAGTTGGAGCAGGTCACATGTTATGACGTCAAAGCAGCGCCTGCGCTTGAGCTTTTGAATCCACTTCCTGTAAAGTTACCTTCTTCTTTGTCTTCCTCATATCCAACACAGATAACACAATAATTGCAATGACCAGAGCAATAACGACGAAGGCCAAGAAAGCAGCAACACCTCCCGATAGAATTAAGGTGTGAAAGACCTGGCCTTCTATGAAGGTTTTGATGGCATCTCGGCAACCTTCAACCTGCAGGACAGTGATATTTGTCTCAATCCTGGCGTGGAGATATTCCGCTTCCTGTTTGCATTTTTCCAAAGCTGTAGTGTTGCTTTCGTCCGTTTCTAAATTACAACAGCTTTCAGGGGCACTTTGTCCAAATTTTGCCTTCCACTGGCTTTCCCAAAAATCGGTGACATTATCAACGCCACAACATTTGTACTGCGTTTGAATTCTGTCCAATCCATCTGTTAACTTCTCGTGCGTTTCTGACATGCCATATTTGGTCAAAATGTCACTTTTCAATACTCTGAAAGTTTGATCAGAGTCTGCGCTCCAGTTTTTACGCCCTTGGTCCGCTATGGCGAGAACTGCCACTCCGCATATAAAGAGCGTCAAGGCTGATACAAGCAGAATCCCAAAGAGAATCTGCGTGCGAAGCGCCCTCTTTTGTCGGCAAATTAGAACCAACAGAACACAGGCAATCAACACGGCCACCAATGGAAGGAAACCTATGACATAGGTTGCTATAAGAAGGGATTGCGCAGTTGTGATCGCTCTCTCAATATCTGGATGGCCGAATATATCCTTGACCGAATCTCTGATGGCGTGATCGTCGGTGAAGAGCGGGCCATACGCCACAAGGCCGACTGCACCTCCGACAAAGCACCATATGGCTAATTGTATCAGCAGGCCGATCCTCGCTTCATTGGGCGTGAGCGCTTTTGCCGTATTTACACCTGCCATACTCGGGTTTTCCTTTGGAAGACAGTATTTATGGCCCACTTGTTATCTGAAAATGTAGAATATTATTTGGTAAAAAAGGTGCTTACTATGTATGATATGCATCGGTTTGTTTGTTTTGTATTCCCCCAATGCAATGAGAAAAACCTATATTTACGTCATTGAGAAACCAATTGCGCACACATTCAAATAGCGTACACTTGGTGCTCGCGACGAGTGTAATAAGCTCTTCACAGCCCATTTAGTTGTCGGCCACATGCAGGAAAACACAGAGGGCGAAGTGCTGAGCTATAAGGTTCACGTTGCCGTTAGCTCAGCTCGCAAACCTTCGTGTGCGTGGGGCCGGTGTGTCGGACCTCTTCATGAAGTGAAGTCCCGGTGTCCCGGTGTGACAAGAATCGTAGTCCGTTTGCACAGGTGACATGTGTCCCATATACTAACCCTAATACTCTGACTAGCCCTCACCTGTACTTATTTAATAGGACTCCTGACATCCATAGGTCTACCATTCTTATCACACACCGGTGAAATAAAGAGCTAAGGTTAGAAAATGAGTCACATTAAAGACTTGATCGAGCTCTTTTTTTTTTCGCAAGTCATTTTCCCTGTCTTTATCTACCGTAAATACTTGAAAAATTCGAACAAAAGTTCTCAGTTATTCCCACCTCCAATCCTGTTTTTCAAGTAAAGTTTGAAAATTTTTGTCCAAAACTTTGAAACAAAAAATTATTTTGCTTATATTAATAAATGTATAATTCATCAATTAATACATTTTATAAATAGATAAAGATGTTTGAATTTTGTGAGTGATCACCGTATGAAAAAATCGAACCAGTAAAACTGAATTAGGATTTTTTGTGAAATAGCCTTCTTAACCTGCTTTATATTATTTCACTAGACTGCTGAAAATCGAAATAATATTAAGTCACAAAGAAAAAAACCGGGTCAATATGGAAGCTGCTCAAGTGCCAGTGCAGCGATGTTTTCATTGCCTTGCCTTGTGTGACTTTTCTGGCTTCTCAAAAACATCTACTAATTCAATAGACCAAACCAGCACTACTAAGGCCCAGTGCAACAAACTGTATGTCTTCACGTTATTCTAGAATTCACTCTTACCCTAAGTTCCTGCGGTGCCACTTGCGGTGCAGCCTGACAATTGAATCTTATTTCTTTGCTCGGACCGCGCCCCGAGTTTCGCTCTAGATGGAGGTAATCGAATTCTTAAAAATGCCCCTGTAACTTTCAAAGGCGGATGACGAGGCAAGAAATGAATTGTAGTAGACGCTTTTACCTTTTTAGCTAACTGAACCCCCGGGATATCGAGCCTTTTTATATGGTGCAGCGCATCAGTAACCTTTAGGACGACAAAAAAAATATGTTACGTAAAGTTCAACTACTGCCAGTAACCCCTTATTAGCTGGATAAAACCAGTTTACGTTACTTTAATCCGAGCTTGCCTTATAAACAGGACGGGGTGAAAATACCAAAGAGAAGGTTCACAGAGAAGTCATCTTTTTGGAAATCCAAGTTGCTGCTGGTTCGACCTGACTGAACACACTATAATAAGTTGGGGTCATTTCATCCATTCCATTTGAAAACGCTTGCGTGACAGTCAATGCTCTGAACGCCATACACCATCTTATATATGTAATACGATTACGTGCTTCTGTACTACCGTAATTTGAAACACCATTTTTCTAACCTCTATTCAATACGATGTCGACGATCTTAAACTGCTTTATTTTAAAGCATCTGTGTGTATGACATACGACACAGAAGCAATCCACCATGACGCCATTACATTCTCGGTGAAATAGATTTTTCATTGCGTCTTGTGTAGTGATGATAGAAAAATAAATCGTTTCAAAAACGACTACACTTGTTTTTTACATATAAGGAAATGATGTTTTTACCCTTCGTCTAGGGTCATTGATCACAAGGTTGAGCTTGATGAAGGGTTAAAGCACCTTGTATCACAAGTGAAGGCTCTGTTACACCAGACTTACGACTGTTTGGAGAACAGCCATTGTGAGAATGAGCTAAAACCGTTCTCTTATCTGTCGCAAGCTCGATGCCATGGTCTGAGGCAGAAAAAGACATTGTGAAAAGTCCAAATCTGTATCTTATTTTCAAAATGCTATTCTTGGCAAAATGGGAACAACATTTTTAGCCCCTCCTTTTCCATGTCATTGCTCCAGCAGTGAACGGTTACTAAAATTATCTAATTTCTTTTTATAAATTTACAATTCATAATTACGTTTTAGGGCTTGAAAGGCACCACCACCACCCCTTTTTTCCTGGAAAAAAATTAAAGCTTTTTCTAAATCCCCAGACACCAGACATAACTCCTCAAAATGGAACTTAATTCAAATATGATATTTATTTCAATCTCCCTCCCTTTTCCACTATCCAAACGAACGAAAAGACTGCTTGAAATTAAGCCAAATTTTCAATAAATGTCGACAGAAAAGGGAGATTATTTTTATACCTTATAAATTAATAATCACATCATAAACTGAATCAATCCGCTAGTGCTCTGGCGGGGCCAGTGGGCACCTGAGCCGCCTTTAGCCTTAACTACCTCCCCTCTTCCCTTTAACAGAAAATTGAACAGTTCTTTCATCCCTATAGTATACATACTATAGTAAAATATCCTCATCTACTATTTTGTATTTGTGCCCCCTCCTCCCCCTCCCCCCTCCCCCCGTCCTTAGTAAAGTCATGGAAACGCCAGTAAAGTGACTGTCCCAGTACCACAGACCCTACCTAAATCGAGTTCAGTGTCTGCACAAGTGCAAGACAGGAAAAAAAGCCTCTAATGGACTGATCAATGCAATCACCTAGAGGGCCCGATTTTCATATCGTTCTCTGAATGCGGTAAATTGATGGATTTAGAAGCTCGTCATTTTTTTCATCATCACTGTTAACTTTAATAAAGAGCAGTCGTTCTTCTTATCCTGTCGATAGAAGGCTGCTAGGGACAGGGCTCTATGTCGCTCGCCCGCTGTCTTCTGAGCTGTGATTTTAATCGATCTGACTCTTTGTGGTCTACTTATCTCTACAATCAGCACATGTCCAATCAGAAATTATTTAAGACCCCTACGAGTGACAGTAGCAGTCATGACAGCGTAAAGTGACTTAAAGCTGTATTATATAGTCTTAACAAGTTACAGTGTTTGGTTAGATGCCATGACTAAGCGATGTGTAAAAACCTCCCGCTTCTGTTCAACAGTCCCTTCAAGTTGATAAATCCATATCCATGGGTATGTAAACATCTGCCCCCCTTTCC